CTACACAGCAATTCTTACTGCATCAGGAGTTCATGTTTTAACATACGAGCACCCAAACCATGTTATAAGAGTTTTTGCCTTGCCTGTGTAGATGGGACCAAACAATGTTACAATCATCTTATCACTCTGTGCTGCAGCCCTGTAAAGATCAGAGCTATAACATGGAGAGGATCCTGTTTAGAAAGATTCAGCAAAGCTAGTGGCCCAAGAAGAACCAGCTGTTGAAAGGTCATATCCCAACCCACTGGAAAGAAAACAATAGAAGCAGAAAGTAGAAGATACAGAGAAAAAAAAGGGAGCCCAAAACAAACCGATGACATTATTTCCTTTAAATTTAAATTTTTCATAAAAACCCTGCACCTGGGATATTTTTCATGTAACATTTATATTCCCCTGTACCCTTCTTGTACTAATAGGTCATCCAACCAAAGAACAAGGGAAGTAAGTGGGAAATCATTGGTAGGAAACAATAGCATCTCTCAAGCCATATGGGGCCACAAGCCACAATTTGGGCAGCTATGTCTCACATGGAGAACCTGAAGCTGTAAGGTCAACTCTGCTTATCGCTAGGACCCTATCAATTTCACGACTGTGAAAAACGTGTCATGGACTGTGAAATAAGCCCTTCCCCATGAAATCTGATCTCCCCCTTGCTGCTGGGAGCGCCCCATCCAGCTGCGAGTCCCCACAGGGCTGGGAAGGGACAGGACTTGGGACAGGACTTGCCCTACAGGGGGGCAAGGGGGACGAGGTTAGACTCACCTCTGGCTACCTTTTCGGTTGGGAGCCAACACCATGAAATTTCAAATGTAAACACCTGAAAATGTGAAATTGATCAATTTTAAAACCCTCCGGCCATGAAATTGATCAAACGGGACTGTGAATTTGGTAGGGCCCTACTTATCACTATAGCCTGCTTTTGCCTGAAAAAAAGCTGAAGCTTAGATATGTTTCAGAGGGGTTACTTTCATTTAGGTTTTTATTGCAGGCCTCACTCTAGGCATCCAAAGAGAGTTGCCCTGTATACATCAAAATGACCATTTGCTGAAGTACAGTTTACCAGATACTGTTCACACTCCCACTTCTGTTGTTCCAAATGTCTCTCTAACAGAGCACACTAAATTTAAAAATGCTACTTGGCAACTATCATGTCATGTGATCTGAATGCTGCATTCTCACCAGAGCTTACAAGTTAAGCCAGCGATGGAATGTGGCAGTAACTGGATGTGATATCACCAAAGAACAACATGTTCATCAGGATACACTCTTGCCTCCGAGTCAGTAACGAACCAAATATTCTCACATGGTGTTACAGGGAAATGTACGGCTGACAACAGTGTTTCAGAATAGATTTTAAACAGAGATCTCAGTCATTTGTGATCATTAAAAATCTCATAGCACTTTTCACAAGAGGAGTCCAATTCAGACTATTAGAGTCAGCGTTCAAGGCCAGAAGGGACCACCAGATCATCTAGGTGGACCTGCTGTCCATCGCAGGCCATCCCCCACATGCCTGCACACTAAATCCAACAACCAAAATTACATTAAAGTATTGCAGCCCACAGGAGACAAGACTGTTATGTGCCCCAGGCAGAGAACAGCAGGGACCCAAGTGCACCAATGCCCAAGGCCTCCACAATAGCAGGGAAATGATTAAGTGAGATATTCCCAGATAAACCTGACAAGTGACCCCATGCCTCACGCTGCAGAGGCAAAAAACCATCCAAGTCACTGCAATTTGAGCTGCGGGGAAATGCCTTCCCTCGCCCCCACATATGGTGATCATAGAATCATAGAATATCAGGGTTGGAAGGGACCTCAGGAGGTCATCTAGTCCAACCCGCTGCTCAATGTGGGCAAGAACCAGTCAACCAAGCACCTGAGACAGAATGCTCAGTGCCATCTCAGATTCTACCTACTTAAATTCCCAAATGGAGTTTCAATTAGATGCAATACTGTTTCTTCACATCTTGTCTTATGTGGCTTCGTAGTGTTGCTCTACAGTATTAAGCAGATGCCATGACAAACCACCCCAGAGAGGGCTGCAGTCAGTAACAGATGAAGGAATCCATGTGTATTGTTTGCATAAAAATGCATAAAGCACTTTGGGCAGGAATCTCTAAGGAGCCTAGTTTTAGAGTAACAGCCGTGTTAGTCTGTATTCGCAAAAAGAAAAGGAGGACTTGTGGCACCTTAGAGGCTAACCAATTTATTTGAGCATGAGCTTTCGTGAGCTACAGCTCACTTCATCGGACGCATACCGGGGAAACTGCCTAGGAAAGGAGCCTAGGGAACTCTGGCACCAGCCTCCCACTGAATCTGGGTGCTTAACTCCCTTAGGCGCCTTTGAAAAATCTCAGCCGTGAGGATCTTCCAGGATGAAGGGTACTAGACACATGCCCGACTATGTTACAGCTCATTCACCTGACAGGAGAAAACGATTAACACCACAGATCAGAAGAACTCAACCCTCCTTGGCCAGACACCGCCTCCGGCAGAGCCTGTGTGGAGGGGGCCGGCAGGGCTGGTGGTGGGCATGGGGAAGACACGCCAGAGAAGCCCGTGGATGAACGGAATCTGGCACGGACGCTGTAGCTACCCGCTGGCCACCTCAAAGCACTTTACCATGCTGTTCCCCCCCTCCCATTTTACCGGGGGGGGGGGAAACTGAGGCACGGAGGGGTTAAGCAACGTACCCACGGCCAGGCAGGGCTGAGCGAGGCTCCAGCCACTAGACCCGGCTGCCTCCCCCGGCACAGTCCCCGGGCGGTCCCCTGAGCCAAGGGCACCCGGCTTTGCCCAGCGGCGGGCCCCTCGCCCGGCCCGCTCGGCACGTGGGGCCGGCCCGCCACACCGGCCTCGCCGCCAGGGGGCGCCCCGGGCTCCGCCGCGGCCACCTCAGGGGGAGCCGTGCGGGGGGGAGGGGCGTCAAGCGGGGAGCCTGCGCGAGGCTGGACGGGACGGGGGGGGCCGCTGGCAGCTGCCGAGGGGGCGGGGAGCACGAGGCGCCCCGGCCCAGGCCCCGGCCCAGGCCCGCTCCTACCTGCCGCCTCCTTCCGCCACGGGACTCGCTCCGGCAGCCGGCGGCCTCCGCTCCGCGCCGCGCCCGCTGATTGGAGGAGCCGCCGATCCCCCAGCGGCCCCCGCGCCGCCGCCGTCCGCTCAAAACTTTATTGAGACGCGTAGAGAGGGACACGGGCGGGGCGCCGGGGGGCGGGGCCGCCTCTCCAGGGGTGCAGGGGGCGCCGGGCTCCCCCAGGCCGGGGTCTGGGGATTCCCCCATGGACCTAGCTGGGCGGAGCCCCGGCTGTGGGGACCCCTGGCGAGGGCTCCTCCTCGGGGGCAGAGCCCAGCGGGGGCCTGGCGCCCCCTCCCCCAACAGGCGGGGGCCTCTGGCCTCGTCCCTGCTCCAGCGGCAGCCCGGGGCACCGGATCCCGGGCGGGGGCGGGGCCGGTGCCACCTGACTGGGGTTGCCTCAGCACCGCGGTGCCAGGCGCTGTACAAACACCCAGCCGGAAGCACCTGGGCTCGCCCCCAGCACCAGCACGGACCCTCCCCCCCGGCCCCTTGTGAGCGCCATCTTCACCATGCCGGATTGAGCGGGTCTGAGGGGGAAAGGCAAATCCGCATGGGAAGTGCCCAAGAGGGGGTGAAATGAACAAAAGGGGAAACAAAGGCAGGTTCAGACCCAGGGTCCCTGCCTGCAGGCACTAGGCAGACAAGGAGCAGGGTTCCCCGCCTTACAGCAGGGCGCTGCAGTGGCTGCCAGGGCGTTACTCCTGATTTATGCCCCTGTGAGGGCTTGGCTACAATTTCCACACCGCGCTGTGCTGTAGACACGGCTTATGCCAGCAGGAGGCATTCTCCTGTTGGGCAGGTAATCCACCTCCCTGAGCAATGGTAGCTAGGCTGACAGGAGAGAAGGACCCAGAAAACAACATCTGCTTTCTACCGGCATTAATCACCCCCAGGTTATATGGGGAGAGGCTGGACCAAGGTGCAATTTGCACTTCCCTACACTACTGGCGGTAGGATTTGGTCCCCAGTTTCTTATTCGTGTTCAGTTTGGTATGGGGGCAACGCTTAACAAAAATGGCCCATTTATACACTGTCCAGCTCTCGGGCCACATTCCTTAGGGCTGCTGCAGGGAGGTGTAAATTATCCCAGTAGGGATTCATTTGGAGGGTGGTCAGCTGTGGTGCCATCACTACCCTATTGCTCCAGATTTCTACTGGGGAGATGAGCAGCTTTGTTTTACAGCTAGGACGCTAAGGAAGCTGCTCTAGCTGAAGCTACCCGGAGAGAAGCACTGAATTAGTCCCCTGCCCTAGCCACGCCCACTTCCTAGCCAGTGCTGCCCATTCTGGGGGCTGTGCAGGTCCCCTTGTGTAATCCCCAAGGGTTGAAATCTGTTTCTGACCCTACAGTCTGGCCGATTTGCCATCTCAGGGAAGTGGTTTTGCCAGCGTAACCCCATCCTGAATTTACTCTGTAAACATCTTCCATTAGAATACAGCTAGGAGATTCAAATATATCAGATTACTGTGTAATGATTTTGGCACTGAAATCCACACTGAAAGGAATAAACAAGGGTGGGGATTAAAAGCATATTACAATAAAGCGTCTAAAGATTATGGCATCCAGGCATATTAGCTGTCTTATATATACATATTTAACAGTGTGAGAGTTAATGATGCTCTCTTGTGCCACGTGAAATCACAAAGAAATCAAGTTGCCACGCAAGAGAGCAGAAGAAAGTGATTGCTTCCCCCTTCCTCCCTCCAGATATGCACTATACTCCTTGCTAACACTAACAAATCCTCTAGGAGCAGATTCTCCCACTCTCATTTTCCTGGCTTTCGCTGCTGCCAGAGGGTAAAGGGGTAAAGATGCTGTCCGTTTGAAGGCTTTTAAGTGCTTTTGTTGAAAGATCAGCAACATTATTTAAAAGACAGCCAGAGAACAGCTCTCCTTCCCTCCTGCCTAGTAGTTTCTTACCTTGCCATCTGGATTTGTTTCATGCTGTCTGCCTCGCTGGTGACATGGAGCTGCGTAATCGTCTGGTGTCTGACATTCATACTGCCAGCATCAGACACTGGCCTTCAAGGACACTGGATCCAGCATCCTAGTTCAAAATACCAGCTGTCTAGGATAGAGATAGTAGATGGAGGATTTTTTCCCCCACCATCTTCTTTCTTTTCTCTACAGTCCTTTAAAGATTGCACAGCGGTGATTTGCAAGATTACAGGAAACACAAGGAATGTACAGGGATGCCCTGTCCTTGGGCAGAAGAGTGTTCTTCCAACCAACTTGATTAGGATGGGAGGCTGCCAGGTTGGGGGTTGGTTAGTTATGTTTTGTTTTTAACAGTTCCTGTTTCCTGCAAGATTCAACCAAGATCCCAGGCCTTTAGTATGGACGAAATTGGCACATGTTTGGAAAGTGAGCGAGAGGGTACAAAAAGTCTCCCTCCTTGCATCCCAGCATAGGGCTAGTCAGTCATTGAGCTCCCTGAGCCTGATCCTGCAAGGTACTGAGTGCCCTCGACTCCCATTGGAATTGAAGGCAATTTAGTACCTTTTGCAGGTGACACTATGTAGCTTGGGGCCCATAAGGGCACTCTGCTTGAGGGGAGGGATGAGCCTGCCCCCTTCTGTGGCCGTCAGCAGAGATGACCTAATGCGTGGGTACTGCATGCATTCCCACAGTCACTGTGACTTCTGGGTGCAAAGTCAGTAACCAGACCTTCAGACCTAGGGATCGCCCGTTCTTTGTAAAGTTACCTGTTTTCAAAAACCCTCCACTATATATGATCCCACCCCACCAGCAGACAATGAAGTATTGTGGTTTCAGTTAACAAATCGTTGTGACTTGTATAATTTTACAGTAATGATAGAAAGCAACAATTCTGTGATCGCTCTTGTGACGCACTCTATATGATTTTATAAAAATATGCTAATGAGTGTGAATATAATGTAACTGAAATATGCTTCATGCAAAAAGTGTCTTGTAAAATATCATTACAAAGTTTATAATCTACTGCGTGTGGTCATCCTATTTGTATAAATGTATCACTCTTGTATCTGAAACTAGAAATATAAAATATAGCTCTGAGGCAGCCATCATGAGAAATCCCCTAGCTACCACCTGAGCTGGAACAAGGGCTGTACCAGGGGAAAGGATTAGGCCCAGACTAGAAAGGTGTCCGGTCTGTGAAAGAAACTTATTGAAACATCTCTAAGGGTGAGATTTTATCTGTATTGAGTTTTTATTACTGTACTAGACTTAGACTTGCGTGTTTTATTTTATTTCGCTTGGTAATTCACTTTGTTCTGTCTGTTACTACTTGGAACCACTTAAATCCTACTTTCTGTATTTAATAAAATCACTTTTTACTTATTAATTAACCCTGAGTATGCATTAATACCTGGGGGGGACGACAAACAGCTGTGCATATCTCTCTATCAGTGTTATAGAGGGCAAACAATTTATGAGTTTACCCTGTATACGCTTTGTACAGGGTAAAACAGATTTATTTGGGGTTTGGACCCTATTGGGAGTTGGGCATCTGAGTGTCAAAGACAGGCACACTTCTGTAAGCGGCTTTCAGTTAAGCCTGCAGCTGTCAGGGGACGTGGTTCAGACCTGGGTCTGGGTTTGCAGCAGGCTAGCGGGTCTGGCTGAAACTAGGCAGGACACTGAAGTCCTAGTCTGAGTGGGCAGGAAAGCAGGAGCAGAAGTAGTCTTGGCACATCAGATGGCAGCCCCCAAAGGGGTTTCTGTGATCCAACCCGTCACAGCTCTCTTCATGTTATTATAGACATGGAGCTTGAGTCAACCCTGCCGGTGCATTGGGTTGCAAATTGCCCCTCTCTGAGATAATAGGGACCACTGCTTCCCAGGGGGAACTCACCCACAGGGGAAAGCTATCAGTGTTTTCACTACTCTGCTTGTGCAGCACCTAGCACAGTGGGGCCCCAATCTTGATTACATAAACATAAAAATGGTCAATGGTCCATTTAGCTCAGTATCGTGTCTTCTGACAGTGGCCAGTGTCAGATCTGTAAGAGGGAATGAACAGAACAGGGCAATTATTGAGTCATCCAGTCTCAGCTTCTGGCACTCAGAGGCTTAGGGACATCCAGAGCATGGTGTTGCCACTCTGAGCTTCTTGGCTAATAGCCATTGATGGGTCTATCCGCCATGAACTTACCTAATTATTTTCTGAACCCAGTTATACTTTTGGCCTTCACCACATTCTCTGGCAAAGAGTTCCACAGGTTGGCTGTGAGTTGTGTGAAGAAGTACTTCCTTATGTTTGTTTTAAACCTGCTGCCTGTTAATTTCATCTGGTGACCCCTGGTTCTTGCGCTATGCGAAGAGGTAAATAACACTTCCTTATTCACTTTCTCCACACCATTAATGATTGCATAGATCTCTATCATATCCCCCCCTTAATCATCTCCTTTCCAAGATGAACAGTCCCAGTCTTTGTAATCTTGCCTCACGTGGAAGCTGTTCCATACCCCTAATAATTTTTGTTGCCCTTCTCCGCACCTTTTCCAAGTATGTATCTTTTTTGAGATGGGAAGACCAGAACTGCATGGAGTATTCAAGGGATGGTGGTATCATGGATTTATACAGTGGCATTATATCCACTCTATAACTATCCACAATGACGCCAAGATCTCTCTCTTGAGTGGTAACAGCTAGTTTAGACCCCATCATTTCGTACGTGTAGTTGGGATTATGTTTTCCAATGTGCAGCACTTTGCATTTACCAACATAGAATTTCGTCTTACGTTTGGTTCCTGTTTTGTTGGTTGGTCTCTAGGAACACCGATAATAAACATGAATAATAATCATAATTAATATCTTCTTTGGGGGCTCCATCGGGGATGGCAGCTTTAATTTCCACAGGAGCTCCACGGCAAAGCCAGTGGCAGAGGCAGCTGGGGGATGGGTACAACAGTACAGCCAGGAGCCAGCAATGCCCACTTTTGGGACTGCATCAACTGGCTACAGCTCTTCCAATGACGTGGGAATTACAGGGGCCATTTGCTGCTGCAAACTCTTCTCCAGGTGGACTTCTCTTCATTAGGGTCTCCAGTGCCTCCTTCTAGCACAAACTCTGCATCAGTGAAGCCCAAGGCTTACAAATGCTAATCACCCAGGAGAACCCGAAATACAGAGATAAGCTTGTTGCTTTACAATGAGATGTAACATCAAAAAAGAAAGGAGAGCGCTCGGGCCATTGTCCCATCGTGCTTCTAGGGGATAATGTTACACTTAGCATAGATCTTTTCTTCTTGCAGGACAGCTGATTTATATTATCTACAGGCCCAGTCTCGTAGCCACTCCATGTATAGAACTCCCACTGTCTCCCGTGGGAGTTGTGAGCTCAGAGCCACCCCGGGTCAGGGCCTATATAAATCCAGTGCCACTAAATTGCTGCACTACCGGGATGAAGGTACCAGACAGACAGGCTAATAGTTCATAGCGCACTCCATAACAAAATGGGGAATTTTTAACAAGGATTAACCCTGACTGACGCATCATAGGATCTTATGATTTATTTATTTTTGTAACTATTGGTGATGATAAACAGACAATCCCTCTGCAAGAATCAAGAATGGGAACAAACTCAGGGGAATAATAAAAACATGAATAGCAATTCCTAGGACCTAATTCTGTCAGGCCTTTATGATTTAATTCTGGCATTGGATTAGTGACAGTGATTCTGTGAGGAGTTTGTGATGCAATTTGGATGAAAAGCACTATACAAAATAAAACCTGAACTATATGTCTACATTGCAAAACAGAATCCGTAATCCCCTACGTATGTATAGCCAGGTTTGCCTCAGTTACACTGCTGTCAATGGAAATTTGACTCTTTGCAACAGAGGACAGAATCGAGCCTTTCCTGCATTGTAGCCATAGCATTACTGCTCTCATGCATTATTCTGCATAGCAGAATTGACATACTCGGCACTATATTTTGCCACACAGCAGCTCCATATATGATGATGCCAGAACTGTGATGAATCCAGCAGCTGGATAAAAATAGAAGTGAACATGTATAAAGGCCGTTGGTCTTAAGGTACTTAACTGATGTATTCAAGTTTGTCTGAATAACATGACGGTTGTGATACAAACAAGGCAAGTTTGAGTTGACGGTTCCCACTATAAAGTGCCCATTGTCCATAGGTGTTACAGATGTGTGAGTAAAGAACACAGATGTTTCATTACATGAGTCCTGGAATGCTTGTCAAAACACTTGTCAAAAGCCTGGGCATTACTGGTAGTAGGGTTGGGCGAATAATGTAAAAGAAGTGCCCAGTAACGTTCGTTTGCATAAACCCACAAATTCACTTCAGCATTTATGACCCTTTCTCTTCACTTTTCATGTCAAAGTTTTATTTGCAAGAATAAATTATGAATGAGTGTTGCGAACACTCCTGTGTGCCTGTATTTGTTATTATTTATATTGCAGTAGCACAAGTCCCAGCCATGAGCCAGGACCCCACTGTGCTAGCTTAGGTTAGTTTAACATCTCCTCTGCCTAGTGGCAAATGGGGCAAGCAATTTTTCTGACTGCTGTCTGTCCAGAGCAAGATGTTTGACTCCATTGTAAGTAGTCTCCATGGCGGGCACATTCTTTTTGATTGTCCTGTGATAAGTCCTTCTTTGTCCTCCACACCGTCTCTTCCCTCCAGGTGGAATCCAATCTAAGACCCATCTTGTGCTTCTGCCATGAGGTAGCCTGATGACATGGCCAAACCACCATAGCCATCCCTGTGTGATTACTGCGTCCATAATCTGCTGGCCCATGCAGTGCAACACTACCGTTTCAGTAGCACGATCTCTCCAATTAATTCCCAAGAATTCTAAAACAACGGTGGGCAAATGCATTCAGCCTCCTCTTGTGAACTTCCACCATCTGCTATGTTTCTGAGGTGTACGGTAATGTTAGAAGGACAATAGAAAGAACACTGTGCTAGGTGGTGTACAAGCAGAAAAAAGACAGTCTTTGTCCCAAAGACTATTTTGCATGAGCATTCAGGGAACATACCTCTGGCCATTTTGAGAGTTATTTATGGGTCTTGGAGGATTTGTTTCTGGAAACAATGT